GGTTTCATGGTTACAGACTTATACGGTCCACAGCATTCAACTTTGCTGATGTGAGCATTAGTCGGGATTCCTCGAATGTGAATCTATAGGGCCTTCGAAAATCGTAACGATGGCACGACCGCGCGCAACACGCACGCACCTCCCGGCAACCGCATTTTCTTGGTTTTCATCTCTACTCAAATAATGTTTCTGTTTACATATGACAGTATTTACACATCAGAAACGATTGAGCTAAGAGTTGAGGTAGTGCCTTTTTGTATGAGAGTTTTCTGTTCCTGTGGGCGCAAAGACCGCAGTCAAATCCGCCATCAAGATTTCAAAAATGACCTATACTTACATTGCGGAGCTATTTTGTTTTTAAGTATCCCCAAAAGAGAGGTAGTTCTTTTCGAAACCTCTTGTGGTAAACAAGACTAATTCATAGTTGAGGCGTTCTTGTTTGATTCTGCATTTCCAAAGCTTCCCTCACATACGTTCCTAGAAACAAGTTGCGCTGCAAACTTATGATACGATGCTTTTTTTAATATTAATTGCTCAAACCCGTAGATGACTTCATAACGTCAAATCCAGAGTAGTTTTCATCGCCTCTTTTGCCGCATCCTTACTCATCTTTTGGTTGAGCTTGCAATTTAATGCCTATGCAAATCATAATCAGCTGATTCTCTGCTGCTCCACCACTACACACGTACCAATTATCTAGTGATTAGTTTGTTTTATAGGCGTTCTGCTCATAGAAGAATTCTTGCTCCTGTGGTCACTCGTCGGTTTTGCGACGGACATAGCTATTCAAACGAAAAGAATTTTCCAGCTCAAGATTTGCTTCAAAATTAGATCTTTTCAAAAAAATGAGCGAGCAAGTGCATTTCTGTACTTGCTCGCTCATTCTGTAGCTATCTATACCCAGGCATAATGCTGAAAAACACGAAATTTTGGAAATGCAGCGACAAGACTCGTTATCTAAAAAGAAGTAAAACGATACTTCGCTAAATCTTTTCTTACTTTGGAGGATGAACCTGATAGAAAACCTGGCACCGCCGCTTGTCCCATCGTTCAGGGCGGGGACTAGCTACTAAACAAAACGCAACGTTACAGCCATACACGGGGCTCTAGCAGGCATGTTTTTTGGTTTCGGGTGTATAATATTATGGGAGAGGATACTTCAACACCATGCTCATACGATCCAACCCAGACCAAATTTACAGTTTGAAAAGAAGTCAAAGAACTTTGATTTACGACACACTAGATTCAGTCACCTTGTCAACTTTTGCTTTCATATGATTTTTGTGAAAATGTTATTTAGTCCGTCATACGAGTCAAACTTATCTTTTACAATACTAGTGAACCAGTGATTAAAGGTGCCAGGTTGCATTTGCGCGCTTCGGGACCGCCACGCTGTTTCCCGCTATTTGCACATTTTTGAATTGCGCTTACGTTTCTTTATACATTAGATTGCGCTTACAATTCTTTATATATTAGATTGATGAATTTTCCAGGACTATGCGTACTACTTCAACATCGGATTCTTTTTGACCATTTGTTCTGTGATAATCATATGTTATATAATTTTGCGGAGATACTTCGCATCGAATACATATTCAGAAAGAGTGCGTAAGATGCAAGCAAAGTTATCGAAGGGCATAGTCGCGCAGGTAAGTAGATTCGATGGGAAACAAAGGAGACTGTTTTGGAGCATATTCAGATTTGCGTTCACGTTACGGCCATAGCGCTATTGAGTCTATGGAATCCGGTAATGATTACTTTCGAGCTCTTTTTCGAAGGAAGTAAAACAACAGAAGATACCGTGTTTGGGGTGTATATAGTGGTAAGCGAGGAGTATTGAAAAAACCTCGTATTTCCATTTGAGTTTTTAGGTTGTCTATATCATTTTCTTTTGGTATCATGTTATTACTGGCATAATTATACGCTGGTCAATAATGGGCTTTTTGACAAGGACAAAATTAACGCAAACATCTAACTTTGTAACTTGATTGTCTTCATAAATATGGTGTTCCAGGAAATACCTCAAAAATAATGAGATACAGGGTAAATCTGTCGGCCTCATACACTTTCATGATATTGCCTGCAGAAACCACCTTTCAACGTGCCTGTAAAATACTCGTTGCACAAAAGTTATGGCATCCCTCTTCGCTTACACTCTATCAAATGAATTGTTTCTTTGAAATGTTGGTCCCATGTTTTGCATTAAGATCTGTTGATGGCAGTGACAACAACCAACACCTTCCGTGCGGAACCTAGGCGAAGAATTATGATTTTTGCATCAAAACTCCATCGCAAATGTTTTGTCGCAGTGTTCTTAGACGGAACTTATTTTGATATTAGGCTTACATATTAGGTAAAGGATATATGTCGCCTAAAGTCGGGGAAATCTGCAACAATACACGTTCCAACACATGCCCAGGCTGACTATCTGCTGCATTGTCCGCGCGGGACCCTTCTGCTTTCAGCGACATATAGTCCCTGAGTCTTACATGTTGAATTACCCCGAAATTTCTGTAGTTTCACTTTTGAAAGTTTTGACCTGCTAATCTGAACGGATATGCCTCTCTCTAATTTTATTAGAAAGAGGAATTTTCTCCTTTTGTATACGTTTTTTGATGAGCTTTCAATATACATTCATTGCCGAGAAAAAAATGGAAACAGAAGACCATTTTGGCTTCGCTTGTATTGATAAGGTCTCCAAAAATCTGTAACGTTGCAGGAGAACGTAAAATCGTCAGTACATAGATTTCATAATTTAATTTTTGCAATCGAAAAAGTTCGTGCCTCATAGAAGTTTCTATGAGGAGTCATGGATTTGAGTCTACAGGAGAAGACAGTCAAAACTGATTACTTTGTCACTTTTCTTGAAAATCATAACTATACAAAAAAATGCCCAAATTATTGTGCTCATCAGGCCCAGATACCAATATTTTAGTAAAACCAAATTTTCTTGAGGTTTTTCAGTTCTTTGTTAGATTGAAGCACATCAATGTAGCTCTTCACACCACTTCCCTTGAAATGCTTGTTACAGTGAAGAAAACATAATTCACAGAGAACTTGGTATACGTTCTGAGAACCCTTCCTTTAGGGTTTCTTACTGTGCTTTTTCGTAGATGTAAGTTCGTTTTGAAATGCCGTGCCTCAAAATACAAGAGATCCAGTTTCAGGATTTTTTCGTCAACAAATCCAGCACCGAAATTTTTATATTTTATCTTTAAAACCTATACAAGTGTGCAAATTTTTTATCAATACAATGATGAAAGAGCTGCGCTACAAATACATGTTGAAATAAGACTAATTTTTTAAACCGAAAAAATTTCAACGCAAATTCCACATGAAAAAATATCTGTTCGCAATCTGCTGAGGAAATTGTTTTATAAGGAAAGTGTAAACTTGGGACTGTTTGTAGTTTAAAAAAAACGGAAAGCTGTCTCCGTTTTCCGGCGTTGAAAAAAAATGGAACAACTCTGATAACGCACTCTTCCGTTTCTTCAAGGAAACTGAAAATTTCGTTTGCTTCCAAATTTTACAAAGTATCTTGAGGCAAAAAGTTATTCTTTGTTATCCAGTGGTTTCCAGGTTTAGAGAACACATGTAGCAAAAAATGAGTTACGATTCGCAGTTGAAGTACTTGAGGCCACAAGCTTTTCAAACACCCTGTATATCACATCCCGTCGATATATAGTTAGGGGAAGGAATACTTCTGATTTCTAGAAAAATTATAAGAAAGCTAATTCGTCAAGATAGCGAAAATTTGTAAAGTGTCAAAAATGAACAACAGAATTCTGGTAAACGGTTCAAAATCAAAAGTTCGGCTCCTGCACCATGCAGGTGATCGGCAAAGGAGATCATGAATGCTAAATAAAAAAGGGGTCAGAAGAGACTGCCAATGCTTCCATACAGGGCTACTATGGTCTCTTAAACTTTTAGGCGTTTTAACTTTTAAGTTCAGGTAACACGTTTCGGACCGCGAAATCTCGCGCGGCGAAAAAATTTTCAGCGGTTAGCCAACAAAGATGTCTTATTTCGTAGACTGTGAGCCACATCTCAATGAACATGTCAGGTAAGCTCTATATTCAAAGTTCTAATAAAATCAAAGTGTGGGGACTTGGCCGCTTGAGAGGGACTTCCGTGCTTTCTTGAAAGATAGGAACAAGAACTCAATTTCTAATAGTGTTCAAAAGTATCTATGTTGTACACGATACACATTGTTATTGAAACTACGGTTTTTCTCTTTGTTCGAGGCGAAGAAAAGTCACGACGTCATGCGTCGCTCGCGTTGACGCACTTCGTAACATCTGTTGCTCAATTTATCCTCATATCTCCTAGACAAATATAGGCGCTATAGTTGTACAGAGTCATTTGTAAAGTAGGAGCCTACGCCTTTGACTTGATAACTATTGACTAAAAGAAAACCTCCTGTAAACGTCAAAAAGATCCTTCAAAGCAGCGTGCTGCACCATGTGCAGCACCAGTCCGAAACGTGTTAAGCTTGGAAAAACGACCAGGTTTAAGAATTGTGCTAGTATCCTTTCCGGTAACTAACTCTAAGATGTAGGATGTCTCACAGAGTTGCTTCATAAAACTTCTTGTCAAAACTCCGGTGCATCTTTTTTCCAACCTTACCTGAAAATAGTGTTAAACGAGCATAGTAGTAGAAATTGCTAAGCAACATGCAGCGCTAGAGCAACTATACCGCGCGACCGGCTTGCTCTAGTCAAATACAAATTTGTCCATTAGGTGTCTAGCGGGAAGAGGTCATATAATCATCACGCTAAGTCACCTCTAGATCAACAACCAAATCTGCAATTTTACCCCTAGAGTCACCTCAACCACTCAATATGACGCTTTCAGGCGAAAATCCATGATATTTGTGAGTGGTGAGTGGATTAAGCACTCGTAGCTTTGACTCTTTACCGTTACTTACCGTGCCTCATAAAAATAAGACTTCCAAAACGAGTACTGAAAAGAAAACTATTTGCCATTTTATTTTGTTTAGCATGTGGAGGAAAAAGAGTTTCACGATAGCGGAACTCATTGCTGCTTGCACGGGTCACGAATACATTAGGCCACCACCAAGAATGCCTCTAATCATAATATCCACCGATATAACGGAGGAACAGCTGATTAAGATGCTCGAAAAAGCAGTGTACGTGGAGATGTGTATCGAAATCAATCGCTCCACATTCAAAAGATTGCGAATGCCAAATTTGAAGGAAATCACATGTCAACTAGGTTAGCGCTCGAAAAAATGCACATTGATTATCTTTAAACAAGGGTAGGGACAACTATACGGTGTCGATAGGCTCCACCCCGCGCGGACAGCTGGCGCAAGTCCGTGGTGCCTGTAACATGCGTGGCTGCGTGCCGCAGATGTTCGCGTTGGACCACTTCCTGGCGGCTTGAAGTCCTCTATTAGCCAAGCAACAATAATGAAATTGCAGGCCTCCTTCCTATTTTGCCTGAGTTCGACGCTTATTTGAAGAAAATTTTGATTCCATTAACAACAACATATTCAAAGGGAGAACAAATTGTACGAATTCAACGACTTCCTTCGTTACCGTATACCACCATTGCTGATTTACAACTACGGTGTCCACAATGCAGTATCATTCCCGACTTCGGTGTTCAAGGCTAAACACAATTACTACTGTATGCTGCCCTCAAGGATGCGTCCCTAATCATCCGGATGCCAACGTCGTGCCAGCGCCGTGCTAGCGGCATGTCAGAAGGGCACTAGCAAGAGCGCTCAATCAATATGCATCGTGTTCACGCGAGTTCTGGCACGGCGCTGGCACGGCAACTGGAGCACCCCTGAAACGGCCCCGGTACGCGAGCAACTCTGAATGCAGCTTAAGCTCGGAGTTTTTCTACTTTATCCTAATATTTCGAGGTTAGCTAAGTACAAACTCAAATAGAGCGATTCAAAGATACTTTCATGGTCTTGAGTCCAAAAAATGGCAGAATTGAGCATCGCCAAACAAGTGTTCCATTTTTTTTAGACTGCGGTTTGATTAGACCATTCACACTGAAACACCTCATTAAAGCTTGTGTTGAAAAGGTGGTTATCAGGCCGTCAATAGGAAACACTTCGAATTTGGCTCGGACAAGCTCGATAAAGCCGAAATGAACGCTTTATAATCACGTGCTGGATACACTGAAGTTTGCATTATCCTCGTTGAGTCGAACTATAGACCATTTCAGTGTCCACAATTTGCGAGAATTACGTTCTTGAGCTGAGGGTAAGGAAGTAATAGAAACACCTTTTTAAAGGAATAATTGTCTGTCTTCCTCAGGTCGTGTCGTCATCAGGGTTAAGGAAAACCCTCAAATGAGCCAACTGTTCATTCTGATATTGGATATCCTCAAAGCGCGAGCATCCTACAAGTTTCTGGAAATCCACTTTTGCCATGAAACCGTCGATAATTACCGCTGAGGGTAAGGCAGAGTCGCTTGCCGCTTCTTTAAACGTAAATGCAAGCTGACTTATCCTGTTTGCGGCTTATCGTGAAGAAAAATATGCTGTTTCAGCCTGCAATCTACAGGCGCGTGATTACCGTGAGAAGAGTCGGTCTTCAGTGCGCTGAAAAATCGGTAATCAAACCACAGAGAGGGTTCGAACTCATGGGAGATTTACGACACATCACACCGCGCATGCCGAATGCACTTCGTGCGCAAGCAACTGCCATGGAGACATGCGTTATCGTAGAAGGATCGGCGTTCAAAGTCTGATACGCCCCGTTTTGAAGGAAATCAGAGCTTTCAAGCGAGGTGAGAAATGAAAAGTTTATTTCAGCTGCATTAAAAAGCATCGTCCAGAATTGCCCTGCGCCAGCGCCGTGTTAGGGTCGTGTCAGCGCTGCGCAGAGCCGTGCTTAACCCACTAGACGCTCTTTATATTATACGATCAAGTTTCCGGCACCGCGCTCGGATAAAAGCCCACTATTAAATTTTTGAGGTCTCGTAGATTTGATTACGTTAGTTTAGGCTTTGATTTTAGGTACACCTGCCTCCAAATCATCAACAACATCAACATCGTCAAATTCATGATTCTTAAGGATATTACCCCTTGAAAAAAGATTTCATACTTGGTGTATTGAGGTCCAAAACTTGCTCCACGTAATATGCTTATACTCCAACAAATCTGTTCATAATGCAAAGTTGCTGACTATGGTTTTTTTTAGCTGCACATTTTCCACTCCAGAACATCTAACATGATAGGACCTCTATCGGATTGTAGTCTTAGCGAGCGTTTACGGTCAAACAGCTAGTTGCTGCTTGTGTCGACAAAGCAATATTCGACCCGCACCTGGGCACACCATGGAATTCAAGCCGAATAAACAATAGATCTCATTGTGATATTCTGCCAAGTAAAATTGATGAAGAACAGCGCTACAAGTAAGTTGTCTTCAGAGTTTGTGCTTTTTACGTGCAAATGGTTGCGATGTAAGCACATCATCTATGGAACGCAACACATATCAGATTTCTTTTTAGTTAGCACAGTGACGACTGCTTGACACACATGGCGTGTCAAGCAATGACTACCACGTAAGACCGCTTGACACACATGATGTGTCAAGGTTTGAAATTAGTATAATGACTACTCTTCTGAGGCAAACTCATTTCAGAAGTCTCTTTTGCGCTAGATTTAGAAATGACCTCTGTCCATTTTGTCAGCTTCAAAGGGCTACTGCAGGTATACTTTAGTCAGCCGTATGCGTGATTTGATTTGAAAAATGTTGGCTGATCGGTGACAGGCTTTGGTCCCAAAAGCCAGACGACTCAGAATCCGCGTGGTCGTCAATGTGTTATGAAAAGAATTTTTCTGACGCCGCCAATAAAATTCCCATTCTTGAAATAGCATGAATTTTTCAGCTATGCCTAAGCATTAAGATTTTGTTATCTTGTAACCTCGGACTTTTCTGTGGCTTTCTTGCTCTGTGGAATAATATTCAATAGAAAATGTGCCCATTTTGTCATCTATGTATAGCATTTGTTTATGTGCATATGCTAGCGCGCATAGACAGTGGTGTGAATACTGCACCTTTTGAGGCTACGATTCATGCAGAAAACCTAGAAATTTACCGGCAGGTATCAACTAGTTCACTGTAGATTCAGAGCTATCAAGCTGCCCTTGCTGTGCTCCTATCAACTAAAGTTCCAATAATTTCCTAGAAACCTTTTTGAAATTGGTTCTGCGCACACTGATTGACCCATAAATAATCTGTAGTTATTATTCTTGCAGTTGAAACACGACGTCCCTTTGAGTGACGAATACATGCAGTTTTCCTTGATACAATTCGTAATCTGGGTACCAAAAGACACCCTTTTGTTGTATCAATTAAAGCTTGAAGTGACAGTACAGCTCCCGTATGGCGCTGCGTCACCGTAACTGTGCCAAAATGCCGGAGCTAGAAGGAAAATCCGTTTGGTCGAAATATTAAGTTGAACACTAAGTTTTGCAACTTTTCTCATAACTTCCCTCTCACTCAACATGGTGCACTCAAATTTTGCCACTGTGTTGATTATTATGTATACTACAAGCGCAGCTGCTGTCCTACCAAATTCTGACGTCGCAGTGAGGGTTACAGTAGGTGTATGGTATGAAGGGGAAAAATTCAAAGTTTGACGTATTTGGCTGAAACTTGGCATAGGGATGTTATCCGACATGCTGATCACGAAAGCGATAGTGAAATTGCGTGATAAGGGCTTTTTTGTAGGATTACTGGTGTACGATATGGGGTCTCACCCTAAACAAGGAAAAAGGCGTTGATTTAACAAATTAATATGATATTCGCATTCGGCAGGTCAAATAACCTTACTATGTGAAGTCTCGGCGGAACTTGAGCTTCGGACTCTTTAGTCATTGACGGTCGTCCCCAGCAGCTCTTGCGTACATCGACTCGTTCGACTTTATGAGGACGCCAAATCTCGACATGCCCATAAATTTTGTTTCTTTCTTGCTAGGCCAAAGGAGTCAACCTCTTGCAATAATTTGTAGACGAATCCGGATTACTGCGCATGGTCTAGGCTGCCAAAGGCTTCATTTTAGCTTGAAACCTTAAAAATTCTCAAATTTTACTAGTTTTCGAAAAATGCCTGAAACTTTTCTATTTCGTGTTCAAAATTCAGACAATTTGTGCTCACTTGTAGCTCGCACTGCATTCTACATGATGCCAAAGTTTGAGTGCGCCATGTTGAATGAGAGTGAAGTTATGAAACAAGTTGCAAAACTTAGTGTTCAACCTAATATTTCATCAGCAGGTAGGAAATCCGAAACCACAAAAAACCATGATTCACATGGTACCTGAAAGATTCTCAAGCGTTATTCTTGTTGATAGCGCCCATTCTTGTCCCTTTTCATGGAGTGGCAGTTTGAGGGATGGAATGGGAAACCACAAACGAGCAATATGAGAGAGGTTAAAGAAAAAGGCAGTAAGCGGCTCAAATATCCTCATTCTTCTCCTTTAGCTCCTTCCTTAGTCTCAGCACCTGTCGGAGGGTGCTCGGAGAGCAGAATGGAAGGTAATTTACAAGCAAGTCTCATTCAGAATCAAAGCTAGGTAATGTTATTAGGGCAGTGGTTGGGTGAAGAACAGCTATCCATAGACTGCATAAAAACAACATATAATCTGAGTTAAACTACCGAGTATGACAAATATACTTGCTATTTAAAGTCAAGTTTTAATAAGTAGTTTGCTTTTTTTGTAGTATGAGTATTTTTGAGTATTGATATCGAGAAAACTTTTAGAGACCAGACTTTGAACACTATTTGCTTATGCAACAGACCTTGTCTACTGCGCGTTTCCTTACTACATCTATTTATCACGCCAACGCTACATAACTACAACGTTACAAACGAGCAGATCAGCATTTGCCTTGATAAATCAAGCTCCTACAAATGCTTGATTAACATTGTGTTACCGTATATGCTTCAAGCATCCTAGCAGACCAACAAAAATTTTGTTATCTACAAAGTTTAGTCTCAATGCATATCATTAGAGTGGCAATTAGATTATTTTTCGCTAGCTTTTGATTCTCATGGGCGCTTTCGTTCAGCTGTTATATGCGTATAAGCAGCTGAATAACGCAATATTGTTTTCAGTTTTCTTGGAATATGTTTGTATCAACTCTAATCTACACATATATCAAGTTCTTCTCAATGTTATCAATATTCTGAGACCTGGGTGATGATGCAGGACGAGGCTGTAGATATTCTACAGCAGATAAATAACGTATCGGCTACAATATGCTCGATCTTCATTCATGTTTTCATTATATACCGCATCAGAACCAAGTACTCTGTATTCACACAGTATCAAAACTTGCTCGTGGTTCAATCTTCCATATACGCAGTAGGATCAATCTCTCAGTTGCTTGGGAATACGGTAAGATTCCTACCTGACCTTTTGACTCTCCTCAATTGTGAAATGTTGTTCCAGAGGATAACACTCGATGGTAACGAACTACAAGGCTACTGGTTTACCTGTAATCCAAAGGTACTTGACATAATCCTAGAATATACGCTGGATATGACTGAGTCAGCAGAATCCATTGTGATAGCAGTATTCAATTTACATCGAGTACTTCTTTTTGTGAGGTAGTACATTATAGTGATCCATGCTTGCCTCAACTTCTTGTTTCAAAGTGATGCATATCTCTATTACAGACCATATCTACTCAGAAGCTTTTATCTGATAGTTATCCCAATTGCCATACTTTACTGCATCTGTCATGCATATGTCAACGCCATTGATAAGGTGGAAATTCAATTTTTGCGTCCCCACCGACTCATTTCAGACCCTGCATTACGGAGACGGGATTAGTTTTCCGCAAATATTAATGTCACAGTGCACGTTTTTTCATTCTCGCGTTTTCCCCGCTTCTGCATCGTTTGCTTTTTGAGTTAACCTGAATGATGCGACGGGGTGTTCATGGCCGGCTTGCCGCTTGCTTTTCGTAGAAAGAGCCGGCCGAAGCCGGTATTGTAGGGCAAGGTACCTTCGCCGCAACCTGCGCTAATATAAAGTGGCCCGCCGGAGCGAGGTCATTGAAAGGACGGTGGGAATAATCTGCGTGCATGCTTTGTTTTTGGTATAGGCAGTAGTGCTTGAAAATCATACAACGGTGTGTTGTAATGCCAACGTAATTTGGTAAAAGATCTTGAACTCTTTACAAGCTGTGTAGGAACCGATTCAACATGAACAAACATTACTAGCATATGTTCGAATTTGTGTTGAGACGTGCAAATCTTTCGTCTCTCCCGCTTTCATTTTGGAATTTTTTTTCAAAAGTATGAAAAAACCTTCCTCCAACATCATAATGCTGCCTCATTTTTCAATTGTAAGATGAAATGAATGATTCACGGCGTGCTAGTGCCTTCTTTATTCTAATCTCAAATCCTCATGAGCTTTTCTTGCAGCGAGAACACTTTGGCTTCACCGTATTGCATTTTGCTTTGTGGATACTTTGAGCATTTTTGTAAAATCGCGCTCTTCACCCTAACGAAACAGTTTTTTGCTACTATTACTTTCGGAGCTGTGTTTCACATTTAAGGCATCACAATTTTGTACGCAAAAGCTTACAGTACGCAATTACAATAATTACATAGATTGAGCATGTACGGCGCATAACACAACTTTTGCTAATGTGAGCAATTGAACCTTAAAAATTTTGGTCTGAGATTTCCAGAAACATGACCGTTAGCATTGGTGATGACATAGAAGCTCCTTCAATATAGCTATTAGTAAATCTACAAATTGTCGGCGCAAATCAGACATACACTTTCTCACACCTATTAGTCCAGTATTTTTCACATGTGCAGCTCCTTATCATGCGAGCTATTTTGTTCATACCCAAAAGCGAGGTAGTGCTTAATCCGCGGAATAAGTTTCATTCGTTCCCGTCCCATATGCTAAATGTTCCTTTCCATAGTGTGAAATTCAAGGGATGAGTTTCGTTCGTTTCTATCTCATTCATCTACACGCTTCTTGTATTGAGTTGGAAAAAAAGAATGTCGCTTTTTTGGGGTTTGCCACTAAAATTGATATTTAAGAACTAAGGCATATCCCAAGCCAAAATTTGAAGGTCAGAGCTTTGAAGGTCTGTAGTATACAACGGCATATACGGTAGGCGCTCAGGATCACTGGGACGGAGTTTGCCATTTCCGTCCAATTTTTCTTGATTTCTAAGTAAGCATGAAAAAAAAATAGCAAACTTACAAATAATGATTGCATAGGTCTGTTCCATGCGGGCTAGTGAGAGGTTTGTAGGATTGGTAATAAAACCCGATTTGTGGCATCATGAGTTGCTCTTATGTTCTGGCTCCTAACTTTGGATAAATCACGATTCTTCCAACAATCGAGAGTCATCTTGTTAATTCCCTTTATTTAATTCCTTAGTTTGGAGGATAATCGAAGTAAGATTCCAAATGTGAGCTGAAAATCAGTCGTTTTTTGTATTCAGTGTAGAAAAAAGTAGTCAACTGCACTTTGGAACAAAAGTAACATATTCGAAAATGACCATCTCACTTGGGTGGCCCAACATTTGGAAACCTCAGAATCCGCTGAAACTTGGCCTATAGGGGTTATTTGACATGCTAATAATGAAAACAATGCTCTTACGTTTAGGTTCTTTTATTATGCTTAATGTACGTATACGATGGTAGGGCAAAACATCATTGTGTTAGCATTTCGGCTAATGGGCCTATCCGACTATGTTAACGGACACCATGTTATCGCCAACATCAGAATCATCTCAATAATGAGTCCCTCCCAGGATCAAGCTTGTGATGCGACTGTCGCAATGGGGGGTCGTAAAGAGGGTACCTAAGGTGGGGGGGGGGGGTCGTAAGAGAAGGTAGTTAGGCTAAAATACCCTAAGCTTAAAAGGGAATCAAAAAAGCAGGTAATTAGTTATATTCTTTACAATAAATTTATAAAAAAGTGGAAATCAGAATAAAAAAGGTAAAAAATCTGTAGAAATTCTCAAAAAAAAACATTTACAAGAGCTCAAAACATTTTTGAAGGATGTATGATTTGATAAAAATGCTAAGTGTACCGATTGCCCTAGAAATCTTGCTTCTGAAGCCCTCCTGAAGTCTCACACACTCGACAAAAGCGAATATCTTTACCAGCTGTGACCATCATAAATTTCTAAATCTTTTTGTAATGTTTTTCACGGGCCCATATGATTTATCTGTACTTTGAAGATGCTCTGCTACATCAGTGCAAAATTTGGTGTTATCATGTCAACTGCAGATTTTCTTATAATTTTATGTATGGTAGCAAAAAAATCAGGAAAGGGGGGTCGTATCTGCGTCGCATCTAAATTTTTTCGGAGCTATTGAAGCTTGTTGGCTGCAATTCTGCTGTAATATGAGGCCATCCTCCTACTTTCCCTCGCAAAAATTGCAGGCTGTTTTATAACTTCTCTGGTAAGTTACAAAATTTTAAGCTCAAAAATCCCAGTTTTTGCTTTTTAGGATCGCATCTAAATTTGCGAGAGTCGCATCTAAATTTTTTCGAGCTTACTGCTCCTCAAGAGCTGAAACTTTTTCACTGGATAGTCTGGGCACTATACTACAAAACCAGTGCTTTGCAGCATCTCATTCTTTTCCTGTCCTTAGTTACGAATTTTCAAACTACCGTGCTCATGCACGTTTTTGACGTCGCTCTGGACAACGCTCAAGCGGTTTTTTTCGCGGAAAAAAATGTGGAAGAGGTAGGAAGTAAGCTTCTTAGTCAAATACATCTTTTGTAGTTCAAGAATGTCATTTTTTTCTCCGTGAAAAAATTTGTGTCGCCTACGGGAATCGAATTTGCTGGCCTGATGTATGCCTGAAAATTCAAAAAAACTTGCAGAATCTCAAACATTTTTGAAGGTGTGTATGTGTGCTACAGATGATGGACGCACTCATTGTCCTAGAAATTCTGCTTCCAAAACCTCACTGAAGTTCTCACGCAGATGTTTTTTGATGACATTCGTTTATGCAGGTTACCGCGAGGAATGTGGGCAGGGGAGGTAAGGGGGATAAATGGGAGGGTGGGGAGGGGGGGGGGGTCGTACGGATGGGAACCTTCAAGGGGGGGGGGGGGTCGTAAATGAGGGTCCCGGATCGCATCAGCACGCTTGACCCTGGTCCCTCCCCTCTACAACCCCCCAGGTGTGGCATGCGCTGTGACATGGCGTGCCACATGCCACACCCCAGGCTTGAATTGGGTATAAACCTCTATTTCCAATGAAGGAGCACCGCCCAATCGGCGATGTCTATGGAGACCAGAAATGGGCAAATCAGTTTCGGTGGTAGACATGCTTCTAAACAATTTTGAACGCATTTTTGTTCGAAATCGCATGTACGACCGCATTGCACTACTTAGAACTGTTTGGTACGCCCCACAGCAAAGGATGTCGACTGCATGAGCACGAGGGTTGTCTAACTCAGGCGACGAGTACCATTCGAGTACCATTGAACCAACACATGTTTTTTATGCGTATGCATCAAGAAATATCTCAATAGCAACAAAAGATCACGCTTTTTCAATCCACGCCGCATAGAATGCAAGAGTATCAAGGAGTGTTTGCAGTGAAGAGACTTTGAACGTCAAAGATCTACTTGCAAAATTTTAGAAGCGTTTTGGTTGTATCAAGCACCTTAAATTGATTCGCGGAGCAATGCCTCTCTATCACTCGAAAACTCTCACCATGAATAAATCAGATTTTCCGATCTGTGAGGGCACGTTGAATCCACTTGATCAGTTAGCTTTTTATACTATTTCACCGGCGACCGAAAGGGTGAGTATTGTGGGTGGAATTTGCTTTTGATCCGAAAGGAAGCGTACAATTTTGCTCGTCAAGCTGGGAAAATGTTTGGTCGGGTAGCCCATTTCAGGCTTTGAAAGACATATCCAAAGCATCAGCTCAATGAATATAGTTACTAATCTCGGAGTGCTCGACAATCAAATCATATTCGTCATGCCAGGAAATACAGATTGCACTTTCCGATAATTGCCCATTCTTTCATGAGACATTTTCGTAAAAAATAAACTTGATTTTTACAGCATTTTTAAAGTAATCTACTTCCAGAACTACGCGTATTACTCCAAAATTGGATTCTTTTTGATCATTTGTTCTGCAATCATCATATGTTATATAATTTTAAGGAGATATTTTGCATCGAATATATCTTCGAAAAGAGTGCGTAGGATGCAAGCACACTTATCGAAGGGCATAGTCGCGCAGGTACGTATTTTTGACGTAAAATAGAGGAGTTTGATTTGGAGCGTGTTTAGATTTGCGTTCACATTACGGCCATAGCGCTGTTAGGTCTATGGAATCCCATAAATATTGTACTTGGGCTTTTTTTCGAAAGAAGTAAGAAAACAGAAGAGACCGTGTTCAAAGTGTATTTGGTGGTAAGCGCGGAGTAATGCGAAAGTTTTTTATTTCCACCTCCAACTTTTTAGGTTGCTTATACCATCTTCGTCTGGTATTCCGCAGTCATTGGCCTGATTATACGCTGGTCAATAATAGGCATTTTGACGAGGATTAAACCAGCGCAAACATCTAGTTTTGTGATCTGATTGTTTCTATAGACAGTGAGAATCTATTAAAGGTCTCAAAACTTTCTTTTATCTAATAGGGATGTTCCAACAACAACCGAAAAGAATTCTGTAATAAAATAAATGAGCTGTTTAAGCTCAAAGAGGCGGAAAATATTAGGTTGTCCCATAAGTTCCGTCCGTTTTGAACTTCGACAGCAATAAGTCATAACTTCTCGCTTCCGAATAGGTTGCAAGGTACTGTTCGATAAAGCAAAGCAAGCTCTACACGACGGCTGTCTTGAGTTTTAAACTATTAGGTTGATTCATAATTAATGCACGTTTTCTATACTTCAACTTTCAACGGAGATAATTCTTTTTTGAAAAGACATTTCAAGGAGCTATAAAAACTACTATGAGCATCAAATCAGTGGCTATAAAACAACTTCTTATGCGTGACCGTATCTATTACAAGAAAGATTTTCTGGCCTGAAGATTGCCAACAACTTTTTTCAAAAGCCTCTTCTTTAAGAGAGCATAACTTATGCTGAAATAAAGTAGGATAAAGTATACTTCACTCATCGTGTAGCCAAGGGTCTCTTGAGCAGTAAGGCCAAGTTTGGATTTTACGGAAAGTTTTTGAAAAAAAATATCGCAAAAAAATCGAAAGTACTCACTTTTTTTGGCATCTTAGCGGGTTCAAAAATCGGTCATTTTTGAAATAATTTCATTTTTCTCCACTGGAAACTGAGAAAACCCTAGCGCTTTTCTAACATCAAATCAACTAGGTCTACCCTTGCTGAATAGTGCAAAAGACTTGCGATCGCTTTTTGCTTTGAAGTTATATATGGCACGAAAGGGCCGCGACGCTCATTCAAGTTCGCAATTGAATTTCTCGGCTCAATATCCATGGAATATGTTGCTCAAAAACCATCTTTAAAACAAAGTTTCATAATCCTTATGCATATTTTTTGGAATTAATCCAGCGATTCCTCATGAATTTAGGGCAAAAAGAGTGAAAAGCAAAAATTTTGGGATTTAGTCTCTTTTATTTGAAGGCTTAGAACTTTGGAACGAAAGGAGATGTACGAAAGCGATGGCCCGCATAAGAAACTAGAGAAAACGCTCTTTCAGAGGGCTTAAAAAGTTTGTGAGGAAATTGGTTACAAATCAAATACCAGCTCTTGGAAGAAGAGGTAAGAAAGAGGTAAAAACGTGCATTAATTATGAATCAACCTAATATAAAGATTCAACTGCCCGAAAAATCGAGAAAAATCATAGCTCCGTTCAAAAATTTTCACGTGTTCTAATTTTTACGTGTAAACACTATCCATATAACACATTTATATACGTTGCCGTTGCCGTATTTTTTCCTTATTTAGAAATTAAGAAAATGAAGATGTTCTTTTTTTCACTGAAGCGATGCTGTGCTGCTCCTACAGAGATAGTTTATACTACTAGCCCGTGAAAGTACAAATGTAAATTTTCAGCTCCCTACAAGCTTTGCTTCCCGAGAAATATCGAATACTGCTTGCCTTAGTTGGGTGTTTTACGCTAAAATCCATATTTCTCGAAAACAAGTGCTTGTAGAGAGCTGAAATTTTATATTTATACTTCTACAGGCTAGTAGTATACAACCATCTGTGTAGAAACAGCACAGCGTCGTTTCAGTAAAAACAAGAAAATCTTCGTTTTCTTGATTTCTAACCAAGGGAAAAATACGGCAACGTCGTTTATAAATGTCGTAGATGGATAGTGTTTACACGTGAAAAACAGAATTTTTGTAGGAATTTTTTAAACGGAGTTATGATTTTTTCTCGATTTTTCGGGCAGTTAAATCTTCTTAGTTTTCGCCTTAAAACTCGAGAAGGGTCAGAGCCGGTGCAAAAACGAGGCAGCCATCTTATTGCTTTGCTTTATTGAACCTTGAAGCCTATTTAGAAACAAGAAGTTCGTGATTTATTACAATTGAAAATTAAAACGGACGGACTTATTAGACAACCTGATATATAGTAAACTGACAAACTTGAAGTAGATTGCAGTCGCATTTATCTTTATGATACCGATGCTTGCAAAAATTAGAAATTTAGTGAGCTTGTAAAATTAACTGCATGCACATAACTTATGACTTCCTCAGTAGTTTATGCTCAACCAACCAAATTATTTTTCTTGAATAACCTTTTCAATTATCAGAAGAGTTTGCCCACTATACTTGGGTAATTCGAAGATTTTTTATCGAATGAATGAATCTTATATATAAAGCTGAATGTCTGTTTGTATGTTTGTCTGTATGTATGTATGTATGTATGTACGTATGTTCCGAATAGAAAATTCCATTTCTGAACCGATCCGGACCAAACTTGGCACACATACACTACGGGCCCCGGCGGGTGTCATAGGCTACTTTTCGTCATCGATCGATATCGATTTTATCGATTTTTATCGATTTTTTTGCTGAGTTCACCTACGGGGCTGGGAGTTGGCACAGGGGGGTAATCGAGCATGGGGATTCCGAATACAATATTGGTTTTCAGGATTATCGATTACTTTTATCGATTTTATCGATTTTTTTGCAAAGTTTGAGCTACGGGGCTGGGAGTTCGCGCAGGGGGGTAATCGAGCATGGGGATTCCGAATACAATATTGGTTTTCAGGATTATCGATTACTTTTATCGATTTTATCGATTTTTTGCAAAGTTTGAGCTAGGGGGCTGGGAGTTGGCACAGGGGGGTAATCGAGCATGCTGATCATCCCCAAGGGGGTGATCAGCATGCTCGATTACACCCCTGTGCCAAATTCCAGCCCCCTAGCTCAAATTTTGCAAAATCGATAAAATCGATAGAAGTAATGGATAATTCCAAAAACTAATATTGTATTCGTAATCTGCATGCTCGATTACCCCCCCCTTTGCAAACTCCCAGCCCCGCAGGTCAAACTTTACAAAAAAATTGATAAAATCGATAAAAGTAATGGACGATCCTGAAAACTAATATTGTGTTCGTAATCAGCATGCTCGATTACCCCCCTGTGCAAAATCCCAGCCTCGCATGTCAAAATTTACAAAAAATCGATAAAATCAATAAAAGTAACCGATAATTCTGAAAACTAATATTGTATTCGGAATCCCCATGCTCACTTCCCCCCTGTGCCAACTCCTAGCCCTGTAGGTGAACTCTGCGAAAAAATCGATAAAAATCGGTAAGATCGACATCGATCGATAACGAAAAGTGGACTGTGACACGCGCCGGGGCCCGAAGTGTATGTGTGCCAAGTTTGGTCCGGATACGGCGGAGCCGGGTAAGCCAGCTAGTATCGAATAAATTCGAAAAGGAGAAGTTTCAAATAAACGAATATCGAATAAATTCGAAAATAAAAAATCTCTAATAAACGAATATCGAATAGATTCGAGGTCCAAAATTCTCGAATGAATGAATTCCGAATAAACTCGGAAAATCAAAAATATCGAATGAATGACTATCGAATATAGTCGAATTTTGACTACCCTAACTTCACGCGTACAAGGCGCGGGGTGGTCCTAGCTTTCATCGAGCTGCTCAGCCGCCCCAACGTGTTTTAAGAAGCGATCCTTATGCCGCACGATTCGTCAGGCAAAACGCAGCACGGTATGGGGTTTCTTTGGTTTCGAATCCTTTGCCGTGTTCGGGCTGGTCGATGAAAGCTAGGACCACCCCGCGCCTTGTACGCGTGAAATTAGGGTAAATATTCGAATGATTTGTCGAATAACTAGAGCAACCATATCTCAAACTTGCCGACATATCTGGCCAAAGCCGATCCATTCATAATCAACACCCTCATATCCCCTATACCAACTCCTAGCTCAAGATTTCCCAAAAGTCGCTGCAATTGAAAAAACAGATTTCAGTTTCAATCAGCACCCTCACTTATCCCCCCCCCCCCTGTACCAACTCCCAACCTCATAACTCAACATCCTCCAAAAATCGATAAAGGCATGAAAGTAAATGTTTTATTCATAATTAGCACCCTCACTCACCCACCCCCCCCCCCTGTATCAACTCCCACCCCGTAGCTCAAAATTCCACAAATCGATAAAATCGATGAAATAAAACAACAGGAAATGAAATTAGCTAGAGCAGAAATCTAAAAATGAGAAACATTGCAACTTGGTGTAAACACCTAACGAGCTGTTTGGATTCATAGCGCTAAGTGTGCGATCTTTTGGAGCAGTAACGGTGGCCACATATGTACTTATATGCCACAAATGCAATGATACATTGCCTGTTTTTCGGAGACTTTCGTCTTGTGTGGTATAAGCTAGTCGTGGACGAAGGCATATGTTTTTTTCCGCGAAGCGAGCACGAATGCTGCTATAGCCCCGGACATACCGCAGGCATTTCAGTGGCGACGTGGTTTGGCAGTAGTCAAATTGTCCATAACTTATCGTGCGGATTCTGAAAGTATAGCATGCAGGGCATTTATCTATCTATTGAGTTGTACACACTATACATTTGTGTAAGCTGGCGTTACATTTGAAGACTTCTCGTAACTGGCAAATCGACGGCTATCGCGTGTAGTATGTCATGATCAAAACTCGCATTTCTCACTGTGGACCTTCTTCGTCCATCTCTAGCCTTTTCAATAGTTGGTAGGCTGATAGCTCCTGGTGTTAAAGTGGCTGCAATCCTCCGTGAAAATTTTGGATTTAATGTGATAACAGGACTACTCAGTACTATCTACTGAACAAACTTTATTGCGAGGTGATAAAGCAAAATTCAGCAACCGTCTAATCCTCCACTACAGCTGCGATATCCTTTACTCAAAATACACCAAATCGCAAAAAATCTTCAAGGTAAAAAAGAGAGGCAGTTGTGCAATATGACTTTTGTAAGCAAGAGCGCTCACTGGTGTAGGCCTTTTCCACCACATGAGCAATCAAAGTAAGAGAAACAGACATGTCAATACAATTCCAATATATGAACTCGGAACATGAGCTTGAGTTTGATAGCTTCTTTGCTGAGTTGGTGCCAGTAGCATTGCGAACAATCTTGTTGATCGAAAACAT